GGGATGTCGTGTGGAGGCCAAGCCAGGCGGTTCCGTCGTGAAAGACGCTGTTTCCCCTGTCGAACTGGTGCGTCTTGCTGGCTGCTGTGTCGGTGTCGTCCGGGTAGTCGGAATGTTAATCGTAACGCTCTGTGGTCGGAGCCGAGGTCGATGTCGTTCGTTGCCTCGCAGTCGACAGCTGCTCGCCATATGGGTTTGCTGGTCAATATGAAATCAACTTGGTGTTGCAATTTTTCGGGTTATGTGTACGTGGTCATGTTGCATGCGTGCTTGCAGAACACGTGTTCGTAATGCGTAGTCTTTCCGTGGACGCCCAATTCTCCAGCCACTGGCCTCGCACGTTGACGTCGCCATATCCACATGGCCCGACGGTGCGTCGGTCGTCCTGGGATTGTCGCTGCCCCACCCGTGCGTTGCAGTCCGCTCCGATGATGACGGCGAGCTTCGTCAAGGTGGCATTTCGGTGGATTTCTTGCAAAATGCTGCACATTGATTGAATGCTCTTGTCACTGTATCCGCTATGTGGGAAATAAGCTGAAACGATGCGCAATCTCAATCCAGACACCACGATATCAGCATAGCATATTCTTTCGTTGACTGGGTGGAAATAGCGGGTAGCATTCGCAAACTTTCTGTGTATCAGTATAGAAACTCCACAGCGTTGTTCTTAGAACCCGGACACCATGAACATATGCCCATCCTTGGACACCCAATGTTCGTGCTTCTCTTGACGCCATGTCTCGTTGAGTGTTCTAAAATCCCAACATGTACCACGCAAGTCTTGGAAAAGCTCCTCAAAACGATCCTCCGAAATAAGTCCACGCGCGTCTTTGTGGTATATAGTGTAAATGTCGTCTCTGGCGTGGAGCTCGATAGGTGGAGGTGTCTTGGTGAAGGTCGTAATGTGGAGGTTGAAACTTGCAAGTCGGCGAGTCGTCTCAGGCAGGGGTCTCGGAGTCGAGAAGCTGGAGTCGAGAAGCTGGAGGTCGATTGGTTGAGAAGCTGGAGGTCGATTGGTCGAGGCTGGAGGTCGTCGCCTGGAGGTCGAAGGTTGGAGGTGGAAGACTGGAGGTCGATAGCTGGTGGTGGATTCTGGGAGTCGGGCGCTGACAGCTGGAGGTCGGCCAGGTGTGGTTCGGAGTCGATAGGTGGGGGTCGAACGCTGGAGGTGCAAGACTGGAGGTCGACAGCTGGTGGTGGATGCTGAGGTGTGCAGTCTGGGCTCAGGAGGCTCGCGGATTGGGACTGGAGGTCGAAAGGTGGAGGCCGGCAGCCGGAGGAGGAATGTTATGGATCGCAAACTTGTGGTGCATGCCGGGAGGCGGAAGCTGGCCGCTGGAGGTCGGTTTGGTGAGGCTGGAGGTCGGCAGCTGGAGGTCGGGCGCCGGAGGTGCAAGAGTGGAGGTCAAGAGCTGGTGGTGGACGCCGAGCGACGGCATCCGTGCTCCGGATGGCGGCTGGTGGAGGCCGGAGGTCGATAGGCGGAGGTGGAGGTCGAGGCTGGAGGTCGTAGGCGAGGTCGGGAGGTTGCTGCGATGTCGCGGCCTCTGAGGAGGAGGAGGAGGAGGAGGAGGAGGAGGAGGAGGCGGTGTCGAAGAATTCTCTGCGTTGGAGCCAACCTGGCTGACGTCGGCTGCAGCGCACCTCTGCCGTAAGAAGCAGCAGCGGTGCGTCGCCGGAGACGGCGTGGTAAGCTCGGCGTCCTCCGCCTTCGGTGGCACGGTGAGGCGGGGCGGGGGGCCGGGCAGCAGGATGGCACCTTCGCTGCACGTGTCCGTCGGGCCGCTGCTTGGAAGCCACGAGCTGGAGGCCGCGGACGTTGAGGAAGGAGTGGGAGTCGGGGCTTTGAGGCTCCCGTGAAACTCGAGGCATCAGGAGGGGAGCAAAAACACAGAGACACACTTCATCGTCGATTCCCCGGGAAAAGATGTGAGAAAATAGGAGAAGTGTGGGGGGGGGGAAGACAAACGCCCAGAAGAGGTGGGAAAATGTGGGGGAGCCTTTGCTTGTGTGCATTTCTTCGTGTGTCCCAGGGCCCCTTCAAGGTACACCCTGCGAAATGCTTAAGAAATCATGGGTTAAGAAATTCATAGTCTCAGAACTTGAAAAAAAAAACCCAAAAGTTCCCATTCAAATCTTAGGATTTACATTGAAACGTTAAGAATAATCGAGACTCTGGCCGAAAACTTAGGTTTTCTTAAGCATCGCCCAAGGGGTAGTGAAGACACGCTCGATTCGACACGCAAGCTGGCCCCGACGGGGCAGTCCTGCCGGGCGTGCCTGCGCGCCGCCTTGTCGGGCCCGTCGGGGGCACCGCGGGCGGGGAGGATCCCGTGGGGCAGAATGGCGTCGCCCTGCGACTTCTTGCCAGCCTCGAACGTATCCCCATCCCTGAGATTGACACGCCAAAAGGCGATGACAATCTCGGGGATCCGCCCTCAAAACGCGAGGGAGTCCCTAAGACTGGCATCGTGATGAGGAGGTGCCCCGCATGGGGACAGGGATATGTTCCAGGCTGGTGAATTTCTGCTGCCTCAGCCACCTGCTGTTCACCTGAAAATGATGTGTAAGCGCCACAATAGCCGCGTACTGTCCTGCTTCCTGGGCATTCTGGGAGCCCCCGCAAGGAAACACCTCTGGAGCATTCCAGCACTGGCCAAGAGCCTCGTATGCATCCTGAGCCTTGACGTTCAGACAAGGGTGTGGCGACGAGGCGGTAGCAAGGCACGTGGTCTGCATCTGACACCGAGACTGTTCCCAGCATAGTTGCTCTCGAAAAACACGTCATTGCTTCACTAGTTGCGGAACGAGCTTCTCCTGCCGCTGGCGATCTCCCGTATACCTCGGACTCGAAGTGCGCGTATGCTCTACAACATGCCGTAGTCCATTCGTTATCATATAAGTTGCCTGCTCTGCGCGCTGCGTCCATCAACTCGCTGCTCTCGAAGATTGTTGGCCTCCACCTCCATGTCCTCGCGCAGCTCGATGAACTGCGTACGATTATTTCCTCGCTGGAGGAGTGCGCTCGTCGCTGCATCATCCGATCTGACTGTATCGTGCTGTGGTGGTCGTGGCTCGTATACATTCCCTGCCTAGCCCACTCCAATCGGTACATGGTCCCAGCGCTTGCCCTAATGCAGCGACTGCACTCGGCACGTCGATGTCTTCAACGTACGAAAGAACATCGCTCCATCATTAGAGGCCTTCTAGATAGGGTCGGAACCCTCGCAAATTTCACAATATTCGCGTCCCCGAGGCCATAAACCTTTGTACATTACGCAACGCTTGCGCCCCCGAAACCATAAACACTCGTAAATTAAACAATCGTTGCGTCCCCGAGGCCACACATCCTGGTAAGTTACGCATTGCTCGCGTCCCCGAAGCCATAAACCATCGTACATTACCCAATATTCGCGCCACCAGCTCTGGCAAGTCCCATTCTAAGAGAGGGAGGCCGGCGGCATGGGGGCGAATCCCTGAAAAAGGTAGTCAAACTATAATCGAACAATCGTCCCCGGATTCTTTCCTTTTTTGAATATTCCTCCTGTAGGGGGACATGCCCGACTTAAAAATAAACTTCCAAGACGCTCACAGATCGGAAGATCCGCGAAGGCACTGATGTTCGACGCCTGCGTCTGCTCCTGCTGATTCCGAGGCTTTCGGTTCGACGCCTGCCGCCCCTCTGTGTCCCGCTGCTTTTGCTCCTACACTTCCCTGCTCAGGGCGTTTCGCCTGGGCATGGGGACTGGAATCGGCGGGTGCTGATGTGCGAAGCGTCAAGAATACGACGGGCCCCTGGCTGGCGAGATTGCGATCACCAGGTGGCCCTGGCCGTGCAAAAGAGAGCAGGAGAAGGGCTGCTGGCTCTGGATAGGCTGAGTGGCTGGAAGGGAAGGTGGGCTCCCGTGTCGAATCCCTCCTCCTCCTCCTCCTCCTCCTCCTCCTCCTCCTCCTCCTCCCCCTCCTCCTCCTCCTCCTCCTCCTCCTCCTCCTCCTCCTCCTCCTCCTCCTCCTCCTCCTCCTCCTCAGCCCACGAGTCTCCTGGGGGAAGGCTCTCTTGGGGCTCCTGGCATGGTTGTCGGACGATGATCGGGTGGCCCCTGGGTGGCCCGGGTGATTTACCGGAGGCCCCCAAGACAACCCAGGATCGCTTCAAGACGGCCTAAGGTGGCCAGACGGCATGCGGCCCAGGAGGGTTCGAAGAAGCTATACAGGAGAGCCCCAAGCAGCAAAACACACTGACTGTCATTGTTGTGTTTTTCTTGCGCGACTTTGGAGGAGAAGGAGAAAAGCTGAGGGGACGAACGCGGCGCTGCACATCATGCGCCACATGCACTCTATAGCAAAATCGCGGCAGGTCCGAGG